TCGAAAATTATTAGGCATACTAAAGCACCACTGGGCATATTCTCTCTTCCTGATGCACGTTTTTCAGAAATCCATATGGATATCGTCGGACCGTTACCTCCATCAGAAGGCAACGTGTACCTGGCCTGAAGCCATTCCCATCCCGGATATGAAAACGGAAACCATTTGCAGAGCCATCTTCAACTGTTGGATATCTCGTTTTGGCTGCCCATCGATCATAACAACAGACCAAGGTTCTCAAATGAGATCCGCACTTTTTGCAGAATTTACGTGCATTTTGGGTACGAACAGAATCACAACAACAGCCTATCATCCAATGTCCAACGGCATTGTTGAACAATTTCATCGACATTTAAAATCTTCTCTCAAGGCTCACGAGACCAATAACTGGACTGAAACACTACCAGTTGTTATGCTTGGTATTCGGACAGCCGTAAAGGAAGATCTACAGTCATCTTGTGCTGAACTGGTGTACGGCACAACTCTCAAGCTGCCTAGTGATATGATAACGTCATCTAAGATATCTCCGTATGACACACAATTTATCACGAATCTTCGGCATAGAATGCAACAATTGAATCCAATAGCAACATCTGCACATTGCCAAGAAAAATGTTACGTAAGTGCTACCTTAAAGTCGTGTACGCATGTATACTTACGTGTCGATCGAGTAAAGCCACCTCTGTGCCAACCATATACACAGGTCCGCATAAAGTCCTTTCTAGAACGGACAAAACTTTCACAATTGATATTAACGGTCTGAAATCTACTGTGTCTATAGACCGTGTGAAACCAGCCTATTTGCTTTCGGACTCTAATTTGCCTGAACTGAAAACAAATAAAGACTTAAAGACAGTTCAGCAGAATAAATCTGCAAACGAACTCTCTAAGACACAAACTGTCACCAGATCGGGAAGACATGTTCACTTCCCTAAGAAACTTGCTTCTTACATAACAATTTAAAACATTTTTTTTTAAATTCATATCTTAACATATTTCTTGTTATTTCATGTTTATTATATGTGTCAATACCTTGTTATATATTGAATTGCATTTTGATCTTTTCTAATTTTATATTCTAATTTTGTAATCATGTAAAAAATACCCGACAGCACGGATACTCTGAGATAATTTCATAACCTATGTCGTTCCTTTGAATAGCCATTAAAGGAACTGGGGGGAAACTCTGTGGTGATGGCGATAAGGAGCGCGCCTTGCGCCCTCCGATAAGTGTGGCAACCCTAGAGGAGAAGTTTCTTACGAGTAGCGAGCAGAGCGAAAACAGGCAGGCTGTCGGGCAGTGTGCGCGAAGTTCCGAAATAAAGCTTAATTTTTATTGTGCACTATGTCTTGTTAATATTTATATTAATGCAGTAAGAACATAATCTGTGATATGGAATTTGAGGATTGGTGGTAAAAACATAACAGGAAATCACCATATATGATCGCAAAAGGAGATCAGATTATTCTAGAATGTCATGCAACTAATAATCTTTACCAAATTAAACCAATAGTTAGGAGTAATGAACCATCAGTTCATGTAGCATTTCAGTGCAAAAATGAGAACTGTGTTCAACTTTGGCATAGACGCCTTGGTCACAGAAACGATGACGCAACCAAGCAACTTGTAAACAAAGAACTTGCTGAAGGAATTAAACTAGATAATTGTAAACATGACATCAAATGCATTCAGTGCATAAAATGTAAACTAACTGATTTTCCGTATCCCAAAGAATCGAAATTCAGAGCATCTAAACCGCTAGAACTCATTCACACTGATGTTTTAGAACCAGTACAAACACCATCTGTCAGTGTATACCTATACTTCGTAACTTTTATTGAAGATTACAGCAGGTTCACAATGATTTACCTAATGAAAAAGAAAAAATGAAGTAATTTCTAAACTAAAACAATTTATTGCTCTTACAAACAATAAATTCGGGAGAAAGGTAAAAACGCTAAGAAGTGATAACGGGGTGAGTACACAAGTAAGGAACTTGAAGAATATCTTATAAAACATGGTATAAATCACTAGCTTACTGTACCGTATTGTCCAGCACAAAATGGAGTCAGTGAACGGAAAAATAGGTCTTTGATGGAGATGACAAGATGTCTTTTAGCTGACTCAGGTCAACCTCACAGATACTGGGCCGAAGCAGTGCTGACTGCAAATTATTTACAGAATCGTATGCCTACAAAACCAAATGCAAAAACTCCATACGAATTATGGAATAACAAGAAACCCAACCTCTCTCATCTGAGGACTTTTGGGTGCAAGGCTTTTGCTTACATCCATAAATCTAAAAGAGGTAAATTGGATGATACTGCTAGAAGGAATACTCGTCGGCTACGACAGCAGAAGCAAAGGCTACAAAATTTTAATTCCTGGAGACAAAATTATAATAAGTCGATCTGTACGATTTATTGAAGACACTGGAACTGAGGAGCCTGTAAGCATCTATTTAAACCAGGATGAAAAAAATTCTAAGGAAGAAAGCTCAGAACGGGAAAAAATAAAAATAGAAGAACCCGAAGAGAAAGAAATATCAGAACACGAAGAAGAACCTTTGGAAGTCAGAAGATCGAACAGACTTACAAAAGGTAAACCTCCTGATCGTTACAGATTCTATGCCAAATATCCAATCTCCTCAGAACCCAAAACCTGGAAGGAAATTCAAAGTTTGGAAGAAAATGAAAAAAGAAAATGGCTAACAGCTGTTCGAGAAGAAATTAATTCACTAGAAGAGAACAACACTTGGGAATTAGTTGATTTACCAAAAGGAAGAAAACCAATAGGATGCAAATGGTCTTTTAAGACAAAGCTCAATGCAGAAGGAAAAATTGAAAGATACAAAGCTAGATCAGTCGCAAAAGGATTTAGCCAGAAGTTTGGATCTGACTATGATGAAACCTTTGCTCTTGTAGTAAAATACACAACGCTACGATCCTTCCTATGTGCAGCTTCGTATAAGAACATGTCTGTCAGACATATTGATGTCAAAACAGCTTTCCTTCATGGAGAACTAGAAGAAGAAATTTACATGACTCAACCCGAAGGATACTCAAAAGCTGGAAATGAAAATAAAGTTTGCAAGCTGAAGAAATCTATATATGGTTTAAAACAAGCAGCTAGAGCTTGGAATCTGAAAATTGGAAAAATACTTCTAAACATGTCATTTAAACAAAGTAAAGCAGACCCATGCTTGTTTTTCAAAAACATCAATGGAAAATTCATGTATATAATATTATATGTAGATGATATGCTTGTAGGAAATGAAAGAGAAGAAGATGTAATGGAAACAATCCAACAATTGAACGCTAAATTCAAAATCAAAAACCTAGGAGAAGTCACCTACTACCTCGGAATAAACATTGAAAGATTTGAAGATGGAAATTTTGCCATAAACCAAAGGAATAAAATCGAAGAAAACAGTTCAAAAGTTTGGACTTCAGAATGAAAAACCAACATATACGCCAATGGAAACAAATTACTGCAAACTAGAAGCTGAAGATGATCTTCTAGAGAATAATACAGAATATAGACAAGCAATAGGGGCATTATTATATATTGCAACAATCAGCAAACCAGATATAGCATGTGCAGTCAATCTACTGAGTAGAAGAAATGAAAAACCTCAGAACATAGATTGGAGTGCTGTCAAGAAAGTCATTCGATACTTGCACATAACTAAAGACTTTAAGTTGGTCTTTAACAAAATTCAAGAACCTATACTAACTGCAGATTGAGCAAATGACAGAACAACAAGAAAATCCATTAGCGGATACATATTCAAACTAGGAAATAACTGCATTTCATGGAGCAGCAAACGTCAAAACTGCATTGCACTATCTTCAACTGAAGCAGAATATATTGCAGCAGCTAATACAGCACAAGAAGCACAATGGCTGTTAAATTTGCTTAAAGATCTAGGACTGAAACAAAATCTGTCGATTACTCTCTATGAAGATAACAAATCATGCAGCAAACAATCACAAACGGAGAAAAATAGCTTTAGAACAAAGCATATAGACGTGAAATACCACTACTTGCGTGAACAAAACGGGATTCTGAGCCTAGACTACTGCAGAAGCTCCGACATGATTGCGGACCTACTCACCAAACCACTAGGCAAACCTGTGTTCGAGAAACTTCGAGAATTGCTGCAAATGGCAATCCTGCCCATCAAGTAGAGGTGTTGGTATGCATATAGTGATGGACTGTCGCCAATAGCACGATAAACCGTATAAACTGGAAACCCTGCAAATGAGTTAACTGTGTAACTCTCTTATTTTTTACACCTTACTTTTCTCACTCCTTCAGTATAGAACAGTGATATGATACTCTCTATAATATAACTTCTTTTTCAATATGTATTTGGAATACTAACGAATTTTATCTATTTTTCATGTATTAATAAAGAATGTGTTTTGTGATCTTACAATTTCCGTCTACACCTATTTTGGATTACAAGTTAATTAGGTATGATCTCCCTTGATGATGCGCTGGATAGAACGGTAAGAAGAATCATTTTGCTCTCTATTTTTATTAATTTGTTGTGAAATTTCAAGGCTATAAAATGTTTTAAAACAATCATAACCCAGTTATCTTCGCTTTGGTTTAGTATAAACATTGACTTTGGTTTCTGATAAATCAGCATGGAAGTATTAAACTTATTTCATTTATCTACAGTTGTTTTAGACTCTTGGAAGGCCTATAAAACTAATAAATTATAAGCTATAAGATTTGAACATATTAATCATCAATATAATTTTTTGGAAAAGTTTCAGATGCATTTTAAAAGATGCAAAGAAGCCAGAAAAATGTTTTGTGCTAAACAAATGTAATCTAGAATACATTTTAGAGATTAATGCCTTTTATCCTTAATTCTAAACATAATACACTTATACATGCATTGTTAACTATGCTGCATGATAAAAAAATATGTTTTAATATACTATTTAGTTTGTAAAATTCTTATAGTGAATTACTTTTTACTTACTTGGCTTTCAGAGTTAAAAGCCTAGTAAAGGTTTCAAGACTATAATATCCTCTATCTACAAAATCCCCCTGAAACAGACAACAGAAACATCATGAGACCATTTGTTGTATATCAGCCTTAAGATAAAAGTAGCATTCTACTGAATGTAAATTTCATTATTTACATCTGGCAGCTAGTGCTAATTTTACAAATTGGCAGATTTTGGTCTTTTACTACATAACATTTTTAATCAAAATGGAAAGAAAATGTTATTGAAATGTCATAAGAAAATAAGGTACTCTTCTGTTTTCAGGACCAGATTCAGAAGTATATATATGTATGTACACACACAGATACATATATGTATGTACATATATACATACATACATGAACACATACATACATTTCTGGACTCAGTCCTGATAACAGAACAGTACCAAAAATAATTAAACAGAATGTGAAATTAATGACTTATTTTAATCATTTATTTAAATTGTTACAAAATTTTCACACACATTCAATGTTTTTTTCCTCAAAGTACTTTTTCATTTTACCTACCTATAATTAATACAGGATGTTATAACTTGTAATGGGTGAGCCTTAAATTTCAGTAAAAAATCAACATATAGAAGTAAACCAATTTTTATATTATTTTAAGCTTATTCCAATCAAGTAAAAGAAGCCTGCTGCTATTAAATACATAGACAGAAAGAAAATATTCAACTAGTTAAGAATCATATACCTTTTTAAGTGATTAAGTTTTTAGTACATTGACGACTTCAAATATCCAGTGATAAGTACTGTGAGCTTCCAAAATATAATAAAGCAGAACTTTAAGTGAAAAGTAACAGGCATGTTTTGAATTCTAATTCGAAGAGTCTATATTTAATATCTAAATCATAAATAGATTAAAAATACTTACCAGAAATATGTAATTTGTGTCTGGAACTTTTCCTCCTGTCCTAAATAATTCCTCAAGATCATAAAACTACAACAGAAAAAAAATGCAATTAAAATTTGGAATTTCTATTTATGAAAATGGTTACAGAATGAAAGCCAGAAGCATTTAATGGGATAATTTTATAAAGAAATAGACAGATTTATAATGTTTCATATTCTTAAGACAATATTGATACAGTTATTAACAAAAAGACAATTCATCTTTTATATGTTTATTATATATTTCATTAATTTTTAAACAGATGGTAAGATATAGCTACAGGTATATTCTAAAACCTCTATGACTACTACCTAAAGCATCACAAAATTTTCTTCTTCTGTAAAAGTGATTGTACGATAGGACATGAATATCCATATTGTTTAAGTTTACCTTTACATCCTCCAAAATGATAACCTGCCCCTAAGGGAACTGCATTTCCCCTTCTTTATGCTTCTCTTATTCTAAAAATAATTTTCTGTAGCTCCATTATGAAATTACTATCACAGTAGTCTACCATTTTAATTAATATATTACTACATACATATGTGTGTGTATATGTAAGATAAAAAATATATAAATCAAAATTATAACTTAAATTAACGGGCAACCCCTTAATTCTCCCTCTCTATTCTAAAAATCTTAATAATTCCTGGGGATTGCATGATTTCTAGATTAATCTAAGCCACAAAGCTACAGTTAATGCTCGTGACGTGGTTAAACTTTAAGAACTGAAACCTTAAACCAAAACCTTTCTCTTTACACAATTTTGCTGAGTATTATCATGTTGCTAACTACGCCATTATTTAAAATATGATCATCTATATAAAATTGTGGTATGCATATTGTGTTCTTGATCATGTATAATGAGAAATATGGTCTTGATAATTAGTTCAGGTCCAGCAATAAAGATTATGTTCAGTTTGGCTACGTCTGTCTACAAGTGTCTCTTTTGAGTGTCATCTTTGAGTCTGAATCTGGTAGTAAATCCAGATTTTCAAATGTGGTGGTAGAGTTTTCCTCTCCTCATCTCTGGGCTATGGGGGACATACACAACAAATTTTGAACACAAAAACTCTGGAAAGAAGGAAAAAAAAATGATAGTAAGATGTGTTACACAGTGCCAAATATTTTGGAACTAATTTGTTTTTTCACAGAATCCTTCATCCCCCCTCGTTTAATCTTCCTACAAAATGTGGTATCATTCTCACAAACAGATCGCTCTACAGAACACTGTGAGCACTGTCAGTTTAATTATGGCCACCCGGTATATAGGTACTACTTTGGTAAACGAGGACACGGGTTTTTTGTGAAAAACATTACGCTTGGCGGTAGATGATAACTGATACGAATTATGGCAACCCATTGTTGGACAAATTATTAATGGTAACCTATAATTTGAGCACTGTAGTGTTTTACATCATTTAATATTTAAAATAATGGGCTTTAATATGCATTAATTCAATGTTTTAAATATTATTTATGGCTATCACATATTAAAAATTGATTTAATTTTTCACTTTTATTTGAAAAACTGATTTTGTTAGATAAGATATTTTAATTAATTTTATGCTGTGTCTGATGTAATCAATGACATCATTTTATCTTTAAAATAATGAGTTTTAATATCTTTAAATTTTGCTTTTTGATATGTATAAATCTTGGGTTTTAAATATTATTTACGGCTGTTAAATATTAAAATTGTAATTTTGTATTTTTATTTGAAAAACTGATTTTATTATTTATGATTATTGGTTTATATGATTAGTTACAGAATATTTGTGCATTACCACACTATTTTAGAAATTTTGTTCCATTATTCGTATACATATTTTGAAAGTTTGTTCTACATTCTTAGTCAGAAAAGTTCCGGGACAATTTTTTTTTTATTTCTGAATTTGCAGTACTAAAAAGGAACAAGTGTTTTTTTTTATCTTGCCTGGTACGTATTCTTACTCGACATAACCTTAACATGTTTCCACGCAAAATTACTAGGTGGTAGGGCTGAGCTTTAGCAACACACTGTTCGGGTTGTTGTTGTATTCATTAGCGTGCAACAATGTATGTGGATTGTGAGCAAAGAGTGAACATTAAGTTCTGAATTAAGCTCAGAAAAACCCCTAGTAAAACATGGAACATGATTAAGCAAGCATATGAAGGCAAGGCACTTTCAAGAAATCATGTTTCCAAGTGGCACAAAAGGTTTCATGAAAGCAGTGATTCAATGCAAGACGATCCCAGAGCTAGTCGCCCGTCTATAGCACATACCAATGCAAATGTGGAGTGTGTAAGGCAATTATTGCAAGAATTGTTGTGTAACTGTGTGTATAATATCAGAAGAAATGAATTTGAATCGTGATGTGTGTCGCAATATTTCCGCGAAGATTTAGGAAATGGAAACTTAATGCAAGAATCATCCCTCACTCACTAATAGATGAACAGAAAGAGGAAAGATGAAGAATTTCTACTAAACTATTGGATAGAGCCAGATGTGACCTGACACTTGTGTCAAAGATTATTGTGATATTTTCTTGGGTAAAAATATATTTACGGGTGCCCCTTGGGAGTAATTGGCAGTACACGGACACTGAATTTGCACAATTCTTCTTTGACTTGTTATTTTGGCTTTGTACAGCAGTGATTTTTGTGCCAAAAATCACTGCTAATAGATAATTTTTGTGCCAAAAATCGCTGCTACACAAATCGAAAATCACAAATCAAAAAATTGCACAAACTCTGTATCCATGTATACATCGACCTATTTTCACTTTAAAAAAATCAGAGAATTGCACAAACTAGGAATTTTGCACTCCCTTCGTACACATCGATCTATATTCACTTAAAAAGTCAAAGGAGCAGCCAACAAAAAATATATAATCTTAATAAACTACATTTTAAATTAAAAAATGAAATAACATTAAAAAAGAAATTCATCATAGCACTACACAAAGGAAATATCCACTTACCTTATTTACAAATTTCCATTGTCTTCAGTTAAATAAAATTCCTTAACAGCATCCAAGAACTTCCTAAAATTATCTGAACTAGAATCTGTATACTGGCATCGCCACATAAATTCACAAAAATAAGAGTAAAAAATATCCTCCGTAGTGCAGGTATCCTCCGATGTTCGACCATACACATTTCCTTCCTACAAACAGGACACTTATAATGGCAACTAAGTAAACCTTCATTTACACACCAGTCAATTAATGTTTTTTTCCCTTTCGTTCCAAATCATACAGAAACTTCAGTGGCACCTTTCAATCTACTCTAACCTTTTCTTTTCTCCATGAGTGAAAAGATGACTAAAAGGAAAGCTTCATCAAGATTATTGCAAACATCCAACAGGCTGTGACAAATGAGGTTGAAAGCAATACAGTTGAAGATTTTCCTGCTTGCTTCCAAGACCTCTAAAAATTTTGGCAGTTGTGTATAGGTAGCTAAGGGGACTGACTACTTTGATAGCAGCTAGGCACATTACTTGGCACTTTACTATTTTTTACGATCTTTGTCCTGGAGCTTTTCTGAGAAAAGATGTATTATGTACTTTACTCGATAATTGTACAGCAGTGGCAGCTTCTGTTTTATCTATGAATATCGTCATTCATAATTATTATCAATTATTGGTATCAGAATCTAATATTCTCCTTTGAGACTTTTTTCTGGTGAACCTGGCTTTCCCAATCAAAGAATTTATTTTACCCTGAAATTCGGAATCTTAAAAATAACACCTATTATTGGAAATAATGTTTTTTTATTTTTCCAAATTTTTTATTTTTTTAATCCTTATGATGCATTTATTTGGCTATAAATTGTTTTATCTATTTATACAGTTATTTTTTTATTATTTTTTCATTCCCACCATTTTTCATTGAAATCTTACTTATGATTATGATTTTTTTTAATGGTGATACTTACCAACATTTTCTTAAAAGTTATTGTTGGGTAGAGGCACGCAAACTTTTTTCTTATGCGTATGCGTATCAATTACGGTGGCACAGCCGTCTCTTCTCCCGACACATCCGTCATTCGAGCGTATGGAGATGGAGAGACACTATATGCTGTGTGATGGTTAATATGATTTGCTGTGTGCTCTTTTTATTCATTATTTGTGTAAATAAAGTGTGTTGTCCTAAATCGATGGCTTCTTTACTTTAAATATGGGCTTCTGAACAACAAATGGTAACATTTGCATGGTTATATCAAGGAGATTTTGATGAAATACCAAGTAGAAATCGAAACTGTCTTAGTGAAAGACAGAAATGGAGAAATGGAATGTTCCTGAATTACCTGGTGAGAGCTACTTTATCTGGACATTGAAAATTAAAGCTGCCTAATCATTGAAAAGACTTGACTCGGTAATTTCGGCTATAAAACCAGAAAACTTAGATGAGAAAGATGAAAGATTGTGGAATGAGAAAAATTCTGACGTCATAGCTTATATAAAACTTTCACTATCGGATCAACAGGCGCTTCAGTTCTCCACAGAAGAGAATGCAAAAATTCTTTGGAAAAAAATAAAATCAACATTTACGGTACAAGCCGAAGATTGAAGAATAGATACCAGTAATGAGTTAAAAAATTTAGAAATGAAGTTGCATGAGTAGGCTAATGATTATATCGCAAGAGTGAGAGGAATAGCAACTAAGTGCCAATCGCTCAGACTAGAAGTATCTCCTCGGGAACTGGTGTTTTACACAGTCTGTTGACTTCGTTGAAAATTCTCTTGAATTACGGAAATTGTAAGAAACTCAGCATGAAAAAACAATTGATGAGGTGTACTTGAAATACTCCATGAGGAAGAGTCTACACACCAACGAACAGGAAACTACCAGATGGAACCAATGCTGAGGTGCTCGTATCAAGGAGAAATAAAAACTATAATCCAAGAATTTGTTACATTTGCCGTCGGCCTGGTCACATCGCAAAATATTGCTACTACAGAAACAAGAATCCAAAAAGTATGTTATCTAAAGGTAACAAAGAAAGAAAAAAATTGCAACCTACAAGTGTGAATCTTTCATCTCGTTCTGATGAAAAAGGAAAGT